TGAAATGTATTATAAATTCAATATTCATTATTATTACCATTAACATTACTATTATCAATAACATTTATATGTTTTCTTAGGCACACAAGCCCTGTTGCCTATGACAATGTACACAATAAATTATATAAATTCATTGCAAAATGTTCAATCATCAGTTAATCTGCATTTATTTGTTTGTCTTTGACTTGGGAAGAACATCCACATTATTAAATTAACAATTTTTGTTTTGTACTTATAAACTTTTATTGAAGCTTGCACTGAAATTAACATCTTGCATACCTGGTTTGTACATTACAAATTGCATTTAATCTGCATATTGTGAAGCAGGCTGGGAAACATTTTTCAAAAAATTTCCCTATTACAGGTAATTTTGTAAAATGGGGCATTAACATGCGCCAAACTAATGGTTTGCAGCTTCATAATTACTTGCTTCTATTATCAACTAATCATTTATAAAAAAAGATGTATTTATCAAACTTGCACCTTACCTGTACTCTCATCAGCAGCAAGAATGCCTTTACCAGGCGCTACAATAGCTTTAGCAATATCTGCCAGCTCCTTCTGCTGCTCCTTTGTCAAATAGGCTGGTGGATCGTACAGTGGCATGATGACTGATGATGACTAGTGACTAAACAAGAATAAACTAGAGTTAATCAACTGGTATTCATTCCTATACACTAAGATTTATGACAATAATGCAGACCATGATAGATGACAATGTCATACGCCTACAAGCACAGGAGTTTTATTCAGTTCAAGAGTAGGCAGCTAGATTTGGTAAATAGGAGGCCAAAATACAGCACTTTTCTATATATTGAGCCTTGGAAATAAAAAGTAGCCAGTTCAACAAGCTCAGTAGATAGCTTATACGATTGGTAGCCACCCAGCAAGCATAATACTCCAATGGAAATGATGTTTACTACCTTGTCACCATTTAAAAGAAAGAACTAGCCTTCTTTAATAACAGATTTTTCACAAGCACAATAGTTTGTGTAAAACTAACACCAACATTGACAAGCACTAAGTATCCTTCAAGGAGATTTGTAGTTATGGGGAGTATTTGACAAGACAGGATGATCTAATGAACACATGTGTGACATTTAAAAACACACTATTTGACCTTTGCATGCAGACAAGCTCCTACCTACATACATTTTTGTACCTACATGTGACTTTTACTTGTCATCCAGAGTGTTCTCTGCAATGTATAGTTCGACTGAGGACACTGACTCCGATTCAAACATAGCTAGTCTGGCATAATCAAAATTAGAAACTCTTGTCCTTGTTCAATTTGGACCACATTTCTTTGCATAATAGTTTTTGCAATCTTGTACATAATGAAGAATCAACTTTTGCCTCCCCACCTAAAATGTGAAAAGTGATCACTGTGCAGTTTCAAAGGTATCAAAGGTACCAAAATATACATTCACTTATTAACTGACCTTTATAATAAAACAAACCACATGGAGATATTTCCAATTGACAATCCAGTCGACTTTATCAGTTCAGTACAAATATAACCTTTGGAATTGCTAATAGTAACTTGTCCTCATTTAACCTGAACTTTTTGACCCCTGATATAATGAGATGATTGTTCGATATATTCAAGCAGGGACTGTGACAGCAATTATTTGTGGAGTTCCATTGAAAAAATTAATGAACTGAAATTATATCCTCCATCTCTTTATGACAAGAATCAAACTATTATTCAGAATCTGTCAAGCATAAATAGGGATGAATGTACACCTTGTATTGATCTTATGAACTCAAAATCAGTTCAGTAAAATGGTAAAACAACTTTGCATACAGTAATTGCTATAATGATTGAAGCCTGGCTATTTCAATAACATTACACACATTATTAAACAAAACATAAAACCATAATGACTTCACACCTTATTTTAAAATTTGAGCAAGAGCATGCAAATCAGTTTCCTGAATAAATGTTTAG